AGGAAGTGAGAAGAATGCCCTGAGAAGAAGACAGAGATAGTGGAAGAGTAGAAACTCCAAAGTGGGAATGGAAGGCCTGGGGAATTTAATCAGATTTACGGAGGTAAGTACCTTGGTGATGAGGATTGATTGAGGAGGCTTAGGCTTCTCTTGGCATATGGCAAGCACTGGAATGTAGGGCAGTAAGGCTTGATGTAATATCTGATGTAATAAAGAGTAATTCCAGATTATTCTTTCCACATAAGGTCCTTGAGGTTTAGTTTTTAGTTTATGAGCTGGAAGCAGCTCTCTGAAGGGGTTTACTTAGTTTCTTATGTAAGATGAAACTTGTGGTGGCAGCTTCCTAAGGCTAGACATAGTGACAGCCATTACATGTTTAAAATGACATAAGTGTTTCTCTAAATTATGACATTTCTATTTTTTAATAGGAACAGCTTTTAGATTGTAAAGGTGAAGATGGATGGAATAAACTTTTTGACTTGATTCAGTCAGAACTTTATGCAAGACCTGATGATGTCCATGTGAACATCCGATTAGTAGAACTGTATCAGTCAAATAAAAGATTAAAGGATGCTGTGGCCCACTGCCATGAGGCAGAGAAAAACATAGCTTTGCGTTCAAGTTTAGAATGGAATTCTTGTGTTGTGCGGACCCTTAAGGTGGGTAAAAGCTGTTGGGTCTCTGTAATTCTATATAGACTATTATTGTATATCCCTTTGTACTTAAGCAGTACCCTATAAAACTTAAGTTTTTTTCATATGTAGAACAATTACGAAATGAATTTTTTTTTAGGGTAATTGCAATTTATAGAGATAAATAAGGCCAGTACATGTATTTTTGATATTTTCATTTGTGAGATGATTGTAAAAATCAATATGGTTTCATAAATGTTATAGGAATGGGAAAATTAATTGTATGCATAAAAAAATAAATTTTGTAGGATTTGATAAAGGTTTGTAACTTACTATTCTTTCTACAAAATAGGACTATCTGGAATCTTCACAGTGTTTGGAGTCTGATAAAAGTACTTGGCGAACAACCAATAGAGACTTACTTCTGGCTTTTGCTAACCTTATGTTTCTTACATTTTCCACTAGAGATGTTCAAGAATGTAGAGAATTACTGGAAAGGTATGTTGACTTACTGAACTAAGGAGAGTACTTTTTTTTTTTTT